ACCTCAACAACCCTAAAAAGATTAAGAAGGAAGAAATCTAAATCTAGCAATGATCATTAAGTATTACGATGCATGCATGATATATAATTTTGTTTGCTATATATGTATTTACTTCAACGGAAGGCTGAATTTAATTTTCGCGTATGGTTCTTTTTCATTTCTATAACATTGTTATATCAAAGTCCTTATTTTATATTAAGGTGTGAATGGGTCCTAATTTATGAGCTGATCTAGTTGAATTAATTACATAATCTCTAAGTTTCATTCTCACCATCTTTGGTTCGTCTCTTCTTTTTGAATGGTGTTGTGGTATGTAAAGAATTCTGACTAAATCATTATTAATCTAACTAAGTCACATAATTTATTGAAGGAGTAGTCACGTATTGCACCCGAATTCGTCTTAAATTCACTATTTCAAAATTTTGAATTTGCGAAATGGCAAGTTGGGAGTGAATTCACCCTAAATTCAAGATTTCAAAATTTTGAATTCGCGAATTCTAAACACGCAAGCATATTTGTACACTGAATGCATAATCAGATCTCAACATGCAAGCGTACATGTTAATTATCAGTACATGGATTGCATAATTTATTATTTAGTAATAAAAATAAGTAGGAAAGTAAGCCCAGCACAATAAGAGTTAAGCTAACTTTTAATTGTGATATAATTGACAGAGTTAAAATTATATAACTACTCCATACAATTAATTAGCAAAGACAATTATAAATAAATATTTATTAATTTGTAATATTATTATTTTAAAAAATTTAATAAATTAAAATGATATTTTTGCAAGTGGAATAAATACATATAAGTTAATATAGGGACACTCCCATGATGCTCCCCCTCTCAAAATTTTTAGACTTTGACGTTTTTTTCGCTCCCGCTTTATATGACTTAGTTTTAAACTTATTAAAAATATAACAAAATTAATTTAAATTTTAGATGAAAACGTCATTAAATTTTTTTTACATGGAAGCAAACAAATGGAGCCTTAGTCTTTTCTTTTGACCTCTCTAAATTGTCATTTGTATGAGAAAAGTGAAGTTCTCCAAGTTACATCACTGAGATATTGCTGCTCTACTGTTTGATGAGAGATGCTGTAATATCGCAGTCATAAATATCCATGTTTCAATGGATTTAAGCAATTGTTTTAAGCAACTTAGATGGCTATAAATGAATAAAAGACATATATGCTATATATATATATATATATTCCAACTATTTTATTTCATCTTTTTATTTGAGGCTTGGGCTTAGTGGTGGCTCCTTATTCGAACAATATTTTGAAACATCTCTGTTTCATTATAATAGATTCATTACAAAAGGTGAACTGTATTACACAATTTTGGCAAGATTTGCTCTACAAAAATGGGTACTTTTCACCTATTAAATTCCAATTCGAGTTCTTCTAGTAGTTAAAGTTAATATAGGAAACTGGTTCATGTTCCTTATCTAATTAATTGATACTTTTTTTTATTATATAAAAAAAAAAGAGTATTTTAATTTTATTGTAAAGCCCTAGTTCCTACTCCCTCAATTCCCCATTAAAGTGGTTTTCAAAGGTATATATATATATATATATATTATGCAATAACTAACCATGAATATGATATAGACAATCCTACCATATTCACTACCATGTGGTTGAAAGGTGATGAAATAATCAATTTCAATGTAGTGGAAAGTTCTCAACAACTTGATCTACCAATTCCTCCATGTGTTGAATAATAATATAGTAATATATCTACCCACTTAATTTAATTACTCATAATTAATTGCAAAGTTCATTGACTAATTAACTCTTCCGTGGTCCTCTATATAAAGTCTTCCCATCTATCCATTTTAATCACAGCCTTCGAGTCTTCCTCTACATCTCTCTCTCACACACATACACACACAAAGTTATATATCTCGCAACTCAAGTCAAAATGAAGACCGGCGAGTCAACCACCATTGACATTGCAGAGACAAGCAGAAAAGGCCCAGCGGCTCCAAAAGGAGGAAGAAATAAGAAAGGCCTTGCAATATTCGACTTCGTTCTGCGGCTGGGTGCCATAGCAGCCACTCTAGCTGCAAGTGTCACCATGGGAACTAGTGATCAGACTTTACCTTTTTTCACCCAGTTCTTTCAGTTCTCAGCCGGTTATGACGATCTACCCACTTTTCAGTAAGTACATTTAATTTAATTTTTATTTATTTTTTTCAGCTTTTGAAGAAACTCCATCACTCATCTACTTGGCTCCTGAGTTGTGCACAGAAACGACTGATGAATGCATGTCAAGTCAAAGGCATGCATGAACTCAATCGATATTGTTTAAGTAACTATATATATACATATACTTGATGTGCATATATGCATGCATGCAGGTTCTTTGTAATCGCAAATGCAATAGTTTGCAGCTACCTTGTACTCTCCCTACCATTCTCTATACTGTGCATAGTTCGCCCACATGCAGTAGGACCAAGGCTCCTCCTAATCATATGTGACATCGTAAGCTCCCTAATCACCACTAGCGTAATTGCAATAATTTGATCTTATATATATATATATATATATATGGTACATCTTAGCTAGCTTATAAATATATATATATATATATATATTGCAGGTGATTACTGGTCTGATCACAGCCGCAGCTTCTTCAGCTACAGCCATAGTGTACTTGGCTCACACTGGAAGTCCAAGCGCAAATTGGAATCCAATCTGCCAGCAGTTCACTGATTTCTGCCAGAGCGTTAGTGGAGCGGTGGTTGGATCGTTCATGGCAGTGGTGGCGTTTATGTTTCTGCTTTTCTTCTCTGCCTTGGCTCTTCGAAAGCATTAATTAAGAAGATTGAAGTACTGTTCTGTTTGAGTTGATTTTACATTGTTCATGTTTTTCCGATTTGGGTGTAATTTTCTTTATTGTATGATGTATGGAAAAAAGAGTGTGATGATCGACCATGATGGATTAGGTTAAATATGGTGTGTCATCAGTAAAATTGCTCCATTGTAATCTCAAGATCACGAGCTCAAAACAACTAAACAAGAAACAGTCTATCTGTAATCTATATGCGTAAGTAAGACTGCGTACTTCCAAACTCTAGCAAGAACTCAATGAGCTAGTCCTTTCAGTTAGATGTATAGATAAATAACTCCCTCCAACCCACACAACGATTGACTGTTGTTGAGAGTTAAATCTCACCTTCATCACATATAGCTAAAATATCATCACATCACATTACATCAATATAAGCATATATAAATATTACAATCATACACATCCATACACAACACAATATTTTACATGATTCACCTAACTCTAGGGCTACGTCTATGGGAGAGAGATTTCACTATTATGAATCAAGGAAGATAATATACAATCACATGTCAAAACCCCACTCACTCACTCATCATCACTTATGAGGCTACATGTATACAGTCGGGAATTACATATTTTCTCCCCGCTCCTCACAACACTCATCCTTAAACTCCCTTTACATCTATTCTCTCTTCTCTCTCTCTCTCTCTCTCTCTCTCTAAACCCCTTACATCTATCTCTATTTATAGAGTCTTCAAATCCAATTTCTTGTTGAACAAGAATTTCCCAACTTACTTATAAGGAGTTATCATAATGATCACAACTCTAAAATATAAACATAATGGGATACAATTTCCTTCACAAAATTTAGCCTTCCAAAACGAAAAAGGAAACTAATTTTCTGCACACAAATTTTGAACCACAAACCCAACAATCTCTATCTTGGCTCAAAATTCAATCTTCACGTGCTTCTCTATAGGTCCACCTCGAATAAGAATCTCTTCACAACTCCACCCCAATTAAAGATTTCTCCACCTCAAATAAAGTATTATGATGAACTTGAGAAATACTCTAAGAATTAGAAAATTTAAAACTTAAACTCCACATTTTAATTAAATCATTCCTTATCCTGATCATCACCAAATTGGCTTGCCAAGTAATTTGTCAAAATGGGTGCCAATAAGATGACAATTAATTCTTATAATTCAGAGGAATGGCGAGAGAGAGAGAGAGAGAGAGAGAGAGAGAGAGAGAGGAGTTTCTCAAGAAACTGCTACTGTTTCCTAGAAGTTCCAAAAACTGGCAAATTATACTCTCTTGAGAACTCTTTCCCGTCAAGTGGGTTCGCAGTTGATTTTGCATCCATTCTCTTTGTATTGAAAGACAATAAAATAGTTTTTGTTGCATTTATTTCGGATGGGATAGTTATTATACTGCACAATGGAATGTCAAATTTGGAAAACTTTGGCAAAAAAATTCTATTATCTTGGTTTACTGCTTATTAATGCAATTTATGTTAAAATTGAAGAAGCCAACAGGTTTTCTGGTTCAGTAATGCTACATCAGGTTTGGTTAGTATAATGTATATACATATAGAACCCTACTTTAATGTCAACGTTTAGAACCCTACTTTAATGTCAACGTTTTCACTCATAAATCTACTATATTTTGGTTAAAAACTATAGATTAAGGAAAACAAATATATTCACACCCTGATTCAATTTTCTTGTAACCTTTGCCCTCTCACCTTCTCTTCTCTGTGGTCTCCAAGCCTCTGCCATAGGAGTAGATAACTAGATATTGTGTATATCCTACCAATGATAATGAATCATTTCAAAAAAAAGTTGTTCCACTATATTTGATTAATTAAATACACTTATGACGTGGCATGCCAAATCCAGGCTAAAATCAAAATATTTCATTTATCTTACTCAATATTAAGTGGATATTGGATGTGCTAGATATACCTTGTCATTGGTATATCTAGCCAATTCACATGCATTCAAATTGGTTGCTTTCACATATTCATCAAAACTGCTCTCAACCAACACACACACGCACATTTTTTTACAAAGATGTGAGCTCTCATCACATGGTAAGTGGGCCGCATTCCACTAATTTTTACGTATCATCGGAATTGGAAGATATATTACTACTCTTTTTATAATTATGGGATTTAACTTCGATATAAAATTCTGAAACGCTAGCAACATTTTCCACAACTTTTTCTTTGCCCTCGCATTTTCAACTTAAACCCACCTTGTTGCTTTATTTTTTTTTATTTATTTTTCATTGTCAGAGCAGTGACTTTACGAAAAACAAGTGAAGCGGAGGAGACAACACCCATGAACCATCTACAAGGTATTTTTCATATCTAAACTTCTAGGGTTATGGTTTTGTTTCACCTTTTTCTCAATCCTTCTCCCTAGTCAGGTTAGGGTTAGGGATTTCGTCATTCCACTCTTTATGTTCGCTTTGATCCGTTTAATTATTTATTTTATTGAAGAAACTTTGATTGTGGTTTGTGGATATGCATGCCATAGGTAGTGACTGGAATATTGCAGGTACTTTATGTGTTACTGAATACAAACCCTTTAATTAGTGAACATGGTCAACAAAAGCATATTGTATTGTAAATTCATGAGCCTGACGAGATCCATCTGGTTTTATTGTTTCCAATTTAACATATTAGGTCGATTTTAGTTATGTGTAACTTTTTTAATTGATGATGATGGTGTGCTCATGACTTCTATGATCCGTTCAATATGTAGTAGATACATGCAAGTGCATGTCTAGCCTTCCATGGCTTCCAAAAGCTTTGACATTTGATTTAGAGAATAAGTACTTACAAAAAGTTTCTTAAAAAATTATATACAATGAAATCCATATTCAATCATAAAGAATAATCCAATATCATAAACCAAGAATATTTGGTAATACGTAATCTTCAGTTCAAGAGGAAGTCTGACTGTCACGGAAGCTAAGAGGTAGGATAAACCACAATAATTGAAGGATAAATGAAGGCTTTCCTTTCCGTGTTGGAAAAGAAAAGGGAGTCAATTGCGAGGTGGATGCTACCACCGATGTAACATCTATAAATAAGGGGCCGGTACGTCGACCTACGAAGGTACAAAACAATTCCCTACTCAATTGTTTTTTTTTCTTATTTATTGTCAAGAACTAACTTGACCGTCGGAGATTCTTAGGCCGGTACCACACTAGTGCCCCTCCGATTACTTTCTCTCTTCTTTTTCAGATATGACACTGTTCCAGATCGCTGCGAATTCATTCATCAACATTTGGTATGTGTCTTTATTTATTACTCGTATATTGAAGCTTCCATATGTCTTGAAAACCCAGATTGTATTTGCTGTATTAGTTACATTTGATATCCGGAGAGTATTGGACTGTGTAAGTCACTTGAGAAATACAATATGCATGGATTATGTTGTTTCGTATTTTAGATCTCTTGTGGGTTCCAATTTCATGATTACAAACTACAGAAAATGTCACTTCCAATGTGTTGAGTGTTGTATCTAATGAAGAACCGTTTTCCTTGATTTCTATTCTACAACTCGTAGCCTTCATTATCGTACTTGATTCTTGGATGAAACGAAATAATTAAATTAATGAAATGAATCTTTATAGTAGTAATGCTATAGAAGCTAAATAATTCGTACTTGTTATGTTATTAGTTAATACGTATTAATTTTCATAATAATAGATTTTAGATTATTTTAGTAAAATCGAAAGATAATTTACAATCTATAACATTCTATCATTTTACACATTAAAATATATAGTCACTAGTTGTTGGAGTTTTACGTTCAAGGGTATACTTTAACTAAAAAATGAACATTTTTAGGTGAGATACTAATTAGCTAATACTTTAATGTCAACCTGGTTGACTTCTAACTACATTTGATTAAATGTTATTAGAAATAATTTTGTTTTAACATGGACGGTAACTATTGGAATTAGTTGAATCCAATGATCATTGGTTTCACTCATAATTATGAATTTTGCTCCCTCCATCCCACAAAACATGTCGACCTTTCTATTTTGATTGTCCCAAAATAATTGTCCCAATTCAAATTCCAATATATTAATTTTTTAATATTCCTAATTTACCCTTCTTACCTTGAAGTTATAAAACATTTTGACCAACCATAGAAGGGTATATTCGAAAATTCATGTCCTACCACTATAATTAAAAGATATTAAAGACTACACTCTTCAAAAGTTAGATTCCTAAAAAGGGACATCTTTTGTGAGATAGAGGGAGTACTTTTGTGTTTTTCTTTAATAAAAGCATCATTATGCCTGTAACAGAAAATATAAGTTCAAATATTATTGTTCAAGAAAGAAAGAAAATATTTTAGTTAAATTTACACAATTTAACGAATTGCATAAGAAAATATAAATAATAAATAAAAAAAACCTTCAGTTGGTGGAGGTGTTTTTGGAAAAAAAAAATCAAAAAGTAACCCCACTGACTAGTGTTTTTTTTTTTGGGGTCTGTGTGTCAAGGGGAAGGGAGTTCAATACAATTTACCCAATAAAAAATGAATGGATACATTATCTTATTCATTGAAGTTCATCTTCGACATAATCAGTCAAAATGAAGAACTTCTTCTCTTGCAAATCCATAGATTGGCGAATTTCAAGTATATATCATTTGGAATGGATCCTCAACAATTGTTTTCCTTTCCATGTATTTCTTAGGTTCCATCCAACAGGTACGAAAATACCACATGACTGTCTTGTTTGGATTAATTTGGTTCATAAATCCATCCAACAGGTACGAAAATACCACATGACTGTCTTGTTTGGATTAATTTGGTTCTTTGTTTATGAATGTAACGACCTACTCCACCACATGGTATGATATTGTCCGCTTTGGGCCTAAGCCCGCATGATTTTGCTCTTGAGCTTCACCCTAAAAGGCCTCATACCAATTGGAGATGACACACTTACATATAAGCACTTCACCTTCCTTCTACCCAGGTGATGTGGGACTGTGCACCCGTAACTCGCCAATGTGGTAGCCTGTCAGTGTCTCTCGCACCCGCCCACGGCACACCCGCCCACAGGGTCATCACAATCCACCCCCCTTGGAGGCCCGACGTTCCCGTCAGCACACTTCCGGCTGGGTCAGGCTCTGATACCATTTATAACGACCCACTTCACCACATGGTATGATATTGTCCGCTTTGGGGCTGAGCCCGCACGGTTTTGCTTTTGAGCTTCACCCTAAAAGGCCTTATACCAATTGGAGATGACACACTTACATATAAGCACTTCACCTTTCCTCTACCCAGGCGATGTGGGACTGTGTACCCGTGCTCGCCAGTATGGTAACCTGATAGTGTCTCTCGCACCCGCTTACGGCACACCCGCCCACAGGGTCATCACAATGAAACTATAACATGGTTGGTAGTTAGGTAAATGATGACATGGCAGTTTTTATCATTGAATGAAGCTTGGAGATGCTTTGAGGGAAAAATTATTGGAGATGATCCAAATCCTATATCATTAAGGTAAGAACTCCAAATACTTTATTGATTTGGAATCACCTTCCTATCATTTTCCTTTCATTTTTTCACCTTTTCTAGCACCCCTCTGTAATTGGTCGGGCACTTACCATCTAACCAAAAAGCTTAAGGTATTGGGTAGTGCGGCATACTCACCCTTACATACCAATTTCACTTCTCATCCAGATCCGATGTTAGACACCTCTAACACCTTCTATCCCCAGATGGTTTAACCTAACGGCTCTCTTGGGATTTGACAATTACTCAACAACCAAACTTTCAAATGCTTAGTTGGGCTTCATCTGACGAGCTGCTCCTTTGATTAGGTGAAAGTATAGGCTTCATCGTAATGGTCTCTTTTTTCTTAGCTTTGATGAAGCTCTTTTTGCCCACTAGTTACGAACCGGGTCTAACATATTTTATTTTTCTAATAGTGGGTGTTTTACCTGCATCTAATTTTTGGAATGTTGTTGTTTTGGGTTTTTCCCTTTTGATATAGGTTAGGACTTGGATTTTGTTTTCTTTGTCTTAGGGAATGGCCCTTTGCTCCTATAATTTTTTATTGCTTCTCTTTAGTTAATTCTTTTACTTATAAAATAGATAACCAATTGAGAAAAGCCTAATTAATCACAAAAAAGTATGATTGCAAGTCTTTGCACTCATTTTGATTCCAAATTGGCCCTCATTTCTGTAGGTGGAGATGCATTAAGTGATACTGGACAAATAAGGTCATTAATTGTAGATGTGTGTGTGTGTGTTTTTTTTTTTTAACTACTAATTTGGATGGCTAGCGGTGCAAACGATAGATTATACATTACATAATTGGTATGGGTAGTGAGTTTTTTCACAATATGTTGTGCGCCTTGGACTATAGGATTGTGATTTGACAAGAAATTAAAAGAGTTAGAAAGCACAAACACTTTTTTTAGAGGTTGTTGTGATGGTGTCCTATGTTACATGGACTCTTTAAAAGTATTGAAGTACCCGTATTTGGGTACATATTACTCGGACATGGGTATGAGATATGTGTCCGACACTTTTGAGTGGACAAGTAGTTAAAAAAAAAACAAATCAAATCATTCAATTATATTAAATTATTAATTTAAAATGATTTAATTACCTATATTGAACACTATATTAGATACAAATATTACTTTACTCTAGAAAATAAAATAAAATAATTAAATAAAATGAATATCTAGCAGTGTCCATGTCTCCTTCTATTTAGAGATCTAACACGTCCAACGCATGGATACATACCCATGTCCGACACACGTACCTGAGCCATGGTAACATAGATGGTATCAGACACTTGGACACTGAAACACATGACACAGACACTATTAGAGATGTCTTACTAGTTAAATATTTTATTTTAGGGCAAATTACACAAAGGACCCTTCAAGTTTTCATCTTGTACATGTAGATAGAAGATGCCACAATATAATAGAAAGGCCACAAATTAACTGTTTGTGGTTAGTGGATTGATATGAATTTACATTTTTTTCCTTCACTTTCTATTTGTTTAATGAAAAAATCTAAAAAAATTTTTGTATTGTTAAAGTTAAGGTTTTGCCCTAAGACTCCTTCACTTTCTTTCCTTTTACAAAACCATGTTTCTCTCTCTCATCTCTCTGTATTTCTTCTCTAAAACACTGCCTTAGCTTCAACGTTTTCATCGCATTTTCACTCTTTAAGATTCATACTAGATTTCACCGCCCCCCACACACAAACATATTGTATATTATAGGCAATTGAAAGCTATTAATTTCAGAAATTAAGAAAAAATGAAAAGTTGCGTTGTAGTTGTTGATGATGAGTTCGCATACGAAGAAGAGACCCACCTTACTGTTCATAAGACCTTTCACTTATTCCCCGGCGATGGCTTCACTGTTTACAACCTGAAAGGTGACCTCATCTTCTGAGTCGACTCGCACGGCACCAAGCCCAAACTCGTTCTCATGTATCCCTCCGGCCACTGCCTCCTATATTCATATGTCCATCACTGGTGCTTCATCAAAAGTCGATCCGGCCGACCCTTGTGATACCGCCGGTGGTGCCCGAACTGGGTTCTTCGAGATTGAGCATCTAGGTTCTCCGAGGCGATCGTCGCCTGTGATTCGTAGCCACCGTTCTAAGCTCGCCCGGCCACAGCCACCTCCACTTCCAACTCCAATCCACAACCCAAAACGATCCGGCCGACGTACCCTGATTCGCCCTTCGCAGCCGCTGTGTGTATATATATATAGATAGATATATATGTGTATATGTATATAGATAGATATATATAGATACATATATGGATGAGATTGATGTGTGTGTATATATATATAGATAGATATATATATCTGTGTGTAATTATATGTGGATGAGATTGATGGGTGGAGTTGAAGGGTAAATTGGTTGATGGTCGTCGGAGGAGGAGGAGGAAGAAGAAGGGAAAGGTGTATGTGGGGGTTGCGGCACCACCACACCACACCACAGTACCACACCGACGTTGCCACCACCACTAACCCCAAACCCACAATCAACAGCAGAAATCAACGGAAGAGATAACCACTGGGCCTCCACCGCGCCACCATCCCATCGTTGTAACTGCCACCACCATTCCTACCTTACAACCACCGCAGTGCCACCACTCCCACTATCCCCAAACCTACAATCGACAGTAGAAATCGATGGAGAGAGAAAATGGAGGCATCGCGACCACCACCACCACCGTCAAAACCCTCTTTCTCCCCTGATCCCCTTCTCTCCAAGGGGCAAAACCGTAACTTTAACAATACATAAAAAAAATTTAGATTTTTTCATTAAGCAAATAGTTTAACTCTATGGACAAAAATGTAAATTCATATCAATTCACTAACCACAAACAGTTAATTTGGGGGCCTTTTTGTTATATTGTGACATCTTCTATCTATATGTACAAGATGAAAATTTGAGGGGTCCTTTGTGTAATTTGCCCTTTATTTTATGGTTGTGAATGAATGGGACATGATTGAGACATAACATGGACACAAGGACGCATTTGGAACACTTTTAGGATATTGTTGTGGTCCCACTTGTAATTATTTTTCTTAGAAGACTGTAATTCAATGCAGTTAAAAATATGACTTGGGTTGATTAGAAAAATAACATAAGATTATAGAAAACAAAATTAATAAATCTCTCTAACTCTTAGCTCCAAAGTGGTGATTTCATACATAATTATATCGAATCAATGAGTTGGAATTATTATTTATATCTATTATATTATATTATATTATATTCTCTTTTTTTTGGGGATAATTACAATCACTTCCCGTGCAGATTGCCTAAATAATATGGACCTTCCCTGTGGTTTTTAAAATAACACTGACCACCCCTATTAGTGTTGCCTTTGACCTAAGTATATTAAATGTCTATCATACCCATTGCACTTTCGTTAGTTCAATACATGAACAAAATAGCATTTTCAAGCTTTTTAAGGGTATTCTTGAGTTTTAAGTAAATTTTGAACATGACATCACCAGATAAGAGTGTCAGATAAGGGAGGTTAGTATATATTTGAGGGGAGGTTAGTATATATTTGAAACTAGATGGGAGTTTCATGTTATTTAGACAATTTACATGGCCGGTAAGTGTTAATTCCTTTATTTTTTATGTATTAATGACGTTTTTTTTTTTTTAGATTTGTCATGTTCGTTTCCTGTCATACCCATATTTAGTGTCCGTATCTGTACTTCATAGCAAAGAAGCTACATAGGATAGTCGTGTCAATATACAAATTCCATCGGGCAACCTTTCAAAGTTGTTTTGTCTTCTCAAAACGTGTATGTCAACTTTGTACAACATTTTGATTTTCTCTTATATATGTGAAGAGCATAAAAATATTAAAAGAACAAATAAATAATAAAAAAACCAACTTTGTTGAGGTCATTGACTCATCTTAGAGCCCGTTTGGAGTGCTTTTCAACAACATAAAAACGTTTTATTTTAAAAATTGCATTTAGATGTGTTTGGTAATCATAAAAGCGCTTTTAATAGTTACGTGTTCTGAGTAGAGGTTGTATATTTTAGGTAATTATTTTTCCTTAGATAAATTTTCCCTTTTTATTTTTTTAAGACAATTTCACCAATTCTTTTATGAAGTTACTATTATCAAATATTGTAACATTCTACTAAAGTATATTATTGTAAAATTAGCACTAGAATTGTTTTGTAAAATATTATTACCAAACTAATAAAAAATTACTTTTGTTAGAAGTGTTTTATATAATGTGTTACCAAGCACCTAAGATACTTTTTAATGACTGCAATTTTTAGAAGCCGAACTATGTAAATATTATGCAAATTATACACCTTTGCTTAGATTTTCGGGAAAAAATATAAAGCAACTCCCTTCTACCTTTTCTTTAGATTGCCAAATTTACACATGGTAAATCCTGTTTTAGAAATTATTCTAACCTCTCCTGTCAAATGTTGACCATTAACACAGTTAATAAAAAAAATATATGAAATTTCTAATTTGTACACGTTAATATTTTAATATAAATTTATATCAAAACTGAAATTATGGAAGAAGAAAAAAAAAACTTGCATCAATTGCAATTGATGGGCATCCCTGGTAGAGAAATTATTACATGATCGATGTGGTCCAACCAATTAGAATCTGCCATTCAAGCTAGTGTGTCAGCTTTATTTAATTTTTTTGTTTGTGTGCCAATTTGTGATTGGGTAGGACCAATCCCGGAGCATGTAATAATTTCTCCATCTTGGACGCATCTTTTTTTTTTTGGAGAGGGGGGGGTTCAGTTCTCCATTTTCATTGTTCTTCAACACTGTTGCAGGGAGATAGAGAGAGAAAGAAAGATCCGATTTATGCCGTGAAATTGAAATTAATTGATGGTAAGAAATACTAAAACACCTTCTTTGTTACGTTCTTCAGTGCCTATGAGCTTTTTTTTTTTTTTACTTGGAAAGTGCCTATGAGCTTGCTTTGTTAGAAATTAATGTTATTGTGTATCCTAATTTCTCTATTTAATCAATATTGAATTTATCTACCAAAAATATTTATACGTATTCACAACTTCAGTGTATTTATTGTGCTTTCAAGTTTGTGTAAAGTAATTCTGCTTCTAATTTTTCTATAAATTTCAAATCTTTTTTATTATTTGCATTATATATATTTTCGATTGTATCAATTTTATAATTTGCCAAAGTGGTTCCACATACAAAATTCATGTACTCCTAGTGTTTGTCAAAAGTATCACGGGCCTACTTTCATTGAAAGATCAGTCACATGTATCTTCTATCTTCAGATGAATTAGTGGAGAAGAAAGAGCCCAGGTGATTGAAGGAAGAAGCCCAAGTGTACTATAAACTAATTTCTTGGTACAACATTCTCAATAATCTCATGTACTTATTATTATTATTTTTATTTTTATTTTATTTTTATTTTTTTGTGTTCACCTATAACACACTCATTTTGTTTGTGACCTTGAATGCTCGACCTTACAACCCTGAAGAGTTGATGAGATACATTGACTAGAACCTTTGGTGGTTCTCAGTTATCTATTTTTGCATTACAAAACCGTGGCTTCAATCTCAAACCATGAGGATTCTTCAAAGGAAGTGCAAAAAATTCTGAAGAAGGTAGATAGGCTCAGTAGCTTGCCAGATTCACTTATTGTTCACATTCTGTCTTTCCTACCAACAATAGATGCGGTCGGAACCAGCATACTGTCATCAAGATGGAAGCATCTTTGGGCTTTTGTTCCCATTCTAGATTTTGATGTCAACTTGCCGTATGGAGAACCTTATTCAGATATGAACTTTGTTGATCGAGTACTTTTCAATCATGAATTCTCTCGCATTCAGAAATTCCTGTTGAACTGTATAGAAGAAAATGATTTATCAAGAGTATATACATGGATAAGTGTAGCCATAAAACGTGGGGTTCAAGAACTTGAAATCTTTATTAAGCAAGGCGAATGGGATTTTAGGTGCCCTTTAAGCCTCTTCACTTGCCCAACACTGTAGTCTTAAAACTGGGATTTCTTGTAAGTTTAAGTACTGTTCCTCACTCGGTCCATTTTAAAAGTCTCAAGGTCCTCCATGTCTCATTTAAGTTTCCGGACAATGGATTGACGCAAAATCTTTTCTGGAATTGCCCTGTTCTTGATAATCTGTTAATTGAAGGACTTGTTCACAGTTATCATGAACTAAGTTTCGATCTCTCAACGCGGGCGCCTCTGAAGCGTTGTAAGTTAGATTTGGGAGGTTATCAAGTAGAAGAGACTTCTAAATATAAAGAGAACAAAATTGTGATCAATTCACCGAGTCTTCAGTTTCTTACTCTCTGGGAAGATTACTTGCCTTGGTATGTGCTTGAGAACCTAATCTCATTGGTTGAAGTGGATGTTGATGTTGGACACTGCTGCATAAAAACCAAGTCAACCAAACAACATGCTCATCGTGTACTTGTGCTACTCAGGAAGTTTTGTAGTGTCAAATATCTATCTCTAGGCGCTCGTACCATGGGAGTAAGCTTGCATTTTTTTTCTTGATAATATTGAGTGTTGATTTTCTTTTTCCTTTTAATTTTGTTATTGCTGTTATTTTTGAAATTTGATCTATATATATGTATAGCACTTCCATGACTTATGTTCATGTCTTATTAAGGCTCTCGACTATGCTGATGACAATAAACTGCCTTTATTCGCTAATTTGACTTGGTTGGGGCCGCATGTTCCAATTGCTATGGTTGGAAACGTCTACTGGTTTTGTTCAATAGCATGCCAAACCTGGCATATCTTGATTTGACTAGATTGAAGGTGAATAAATTAACACGTAAGAAAATTTTGAAGTATTTTTTTTTGTTTTTTATTCACAGTTTCTAAACTTTTGATTTCTGTGTCTAGAATTGTGAAGATAATGCTTTTGAGGATTTCAATTTTATTGAACAAGAAGTGGTGCCTTGTTGTCTGTCAATGCATCTTCAAAAAATTGGAATTCGTGGATTTCGGGGGCTGAGTGATGAGCTGAAGCTGACAGAGTATTTTCTAAGAAATTGCAATGTATTGCATAAGATGGCAATTGTAAATTTTTATTTAGATGAAAATCAAGAGAGAGAATTTCTCAAGAAAGTGGAAATGTTTCCTAGAAGTTCAAGAAACTGTCAAATTATTCTTGAGAAAGAACAAGAAGTTTCCTGACATGGAATCAAGTGGGCTCCCATCTTATTTTGCATCTGTTCTCTTTGTATTGAAAGACTATGAAATTGTGTTTGTTACATTTATTCCTGATGAGACAGTTGTTTGATTTTTGTTTGGAATACTCCTTTTATACTGTGTTTGTACATCAGGTAGAGAGTCAATGTTTTCACTTGCAAGGTTTTGCTTATAATGACTTTAGAATCTAATTCCCGGTGAAGATTGAAGTTTCTTGTAACCTTTGCGCTTTCCCTTTTCTCTTTCTCTGTGGAAACAGCAGCAGATTATGGTATTAGCTCGATTTCAGTCAACAAAATGGAAGCAGCAGTGCATCGAGTTGATGGATTTGTGGTTCGCTGTGTTGGTCTATTTTGAAGAAAAGAAAATGGGGCCCTCAGGTTGTGGTTAATATGGTTGTGAATCTCTGCTACAAGAATGTTCTGAAGCTAGTAGTTAGATTTGATTGTTTCAGGTATGAGAAACAAAGAGTATCCTAATCATTGGTTCAGATCTTCACAAGGGATGCCAAAGCTCAAGTTTGATGCGGCGAGCCGCGTATAATGCTCCTTCAACGGAGTGTGGTGGAGGCTTTGTCAAGATTGCAGTTTTGGAGACTTTGAAGCATGTTTGTAGTTTTTGATTCACCATTTCAGTTTCTAAGCTCCTGCTTTCTGTCTCTAGAACTGTGAGAATAATTGATCATGAGGATTTCAATTTTGTTGAACAAGCAAGTGGTGCCTTATTGAATTTTTTGGATTTCGGGGGCTAAGTGATGAGCTGAAGCTGATAAGAGTATGTTTTGAGAAATGGCACAATATTGCATTTGTTGGCAATTAATTTTTTAATTCAAAAGAAAAGCACAAGAGAGAGTTTCTCAAGAAGCTGCTATAGTTTCCTGTGGTACAGTATTATTTTCAAATTTTGAGTCTCATTTTCAAAATAAAAATGCTTTTAAATAGTAAAGAAGCAATCCTAAACGGGCTCTGATCCTTAATTCCACACAAAAAGTCATGTTAAAGTGAAAAAAAAAAAAAAAAAAAAAAAAAGACACAATCTATATTTGAGTGATATTTGGACCGAATACCGGCATTTTACTTCAAGGAAAAAAAAAATTTCACTCCAAAATAAAACCAAAAAAACTGATTTTTGGTATTTTTTTTTACCCAAACAGTGCCTTAAAAATTTATCCGGATTGGTTTTTTTTATTTTTTTTATTAATTTTTTAAAAAAAGGCAACCCATATAGGCGATTCTAAATTGGCATCCCAATTTTGGTGACCCGCAATGGAGTGGATTGGGTTACCAAATTGGGCTGGGCTCGCCAAAAAACGGACCATTAGAGTTGGTCTAATATTCTGCATAAATTATTAATACCTATGCTCTCAAATAAAGTGTCTTGCTTTGAGAATTGTGACTTACATTATTGTGAGTCACACTTCTCAAAGTTCTCAAAACAGGACATTTTTTTAAGAACTTCCGAACCAGGATGAATTAGTAATTGACACGTAAGGAAAAAAAATTGAAAAAAATTGACAAATTTACTTATATGTAAGTTAGTAATGGGGTCTAACGGTCCATGTAATAATTTCTTAATATTCCAAAGGAATGCCGAGCAATTAAAATTTGAATATTTCAATATAAATTAGGGTTTTAGTCATCTCTTCAACACACTTCGATAGATTGAGGGAGAGGATTTAATTGATGGTAAGAAAGAATTGGCTGATTTCCAATATATTTTGTCATTTGCATTATATAATATTAGTGTAAACTTTTTCTTCTTTGAGCTCCTTTTCTGCTTGTGTTTTACTTCCAATCAAAGTTCCCAGAGCCACAGAATCTATTTGTACTGTAAATTTTAAATTTATAAAATTCTCAATAATCTCGTATTCTTGTTAAATTTTCATTTTTTTATTTTTATTTTTTTATAGCATTTTGTATCGGTGACCTTGAACACTCTTCTTACTAGGGGTACACACGGTCCGGTTTGGTCTGGTTTTGAAAATTTTTGGAACCAAATCGCTCCCTACGGTTTTAGAAAATCTGAAACCGAACTAGACCATTTGAGCCATGGAACCAAACCAGCCAAAACCGTGAAAAAACGGTTTAATTCGGTTCGGTTCCACTGTTCTAGTTGAATTTTAGTTCCCTGTTTTTTCTCTTAAATTGTATATACAACAAAAAATCAATGAAAGTATTCACATTTCCGAATCGAAGACTAAAATAAAGAGAGAAAAAGAGAGGAGAAAGTGGGTGAAATAGACCCAAAAGCAAAACCCTATAAATTAAAATAAGATTGAATCTTGATGAAACTGAAAAAGATGACAAATCTGTGGTTGAAAATTAAGAAACTTGATTCGTTGTCGTTGTTGGTTGTGCTTGAGGCGCAAACACGCCATGAGACTCAGAGATATGTGAACTGAAAGTGAGAGAGAGGAATAGAGAGTGTGAGAAAGATGTCACCGACGTTAGCGATAAAAGATCGCCGACGATGACCGAACTTCTGGTTGCTTAAGAGAGATTGATTAACAACTGGATCCTACGATGATGAGAACTAAGAAGAATGAGGCGGCGTGAGCAAAGGAAAAAAATGAGATAGTGGAGGAATGTTGTCATGTACCCAAAAATCAAAACATTAGGAGAAGCAAAAGTAAATAAAAAAATATCAGATAATGATGAATGTTGGCTCCCGTTTGAACGTTGTGCCGAAATCCTTTACAAAGTTAAGAGTAGTGTATAGGTATAGCTATATATATATATATATATATATATATATATATATAATATAATATAATATAACATATTTTTATATACATATTATAATGGTTTGGTCTGGGTCGGTTCGGTGACTGAACCAAAAATTCACGGTTCCATTATTTTGAAACCGTAATCGGACCAAATCGCTATGGAACCGGCTTAGACCACCTGATTCAGTTTGGTCCGATTTTGTTTTATGGGTTGACAGTTTTTTTGCACACCCCCACTCCTTACACCTTACAACCCCGGAAAGGTGAGGATATACACTAAATACAAGCTTTGTTCTTCCAATTTCATGAACTTTGTTGACAGTATTTCTTAATCACGAGTTGTCCTATGTTCACAAGCTCCGTTTACACTCTAATTTATACAGAGAGATTGATATTGTTGGGATTTGTGTGCCCAGCATAGCAAATTCTTGCTTGGACTGTAAAGTCATTGTTCCTTATCTAAATATTATTATTAATGCATTATACAATTAGTGAATGTAATGTATTATTTTTTTGATTCATTATGGAATTGATTGTGTCCACTTGAATACAAGATATATTTATATATGTATGTGATGAAAATTAATACAATGTTATAAATAGTAATCATAAATGGTTCAAAGTCGGTAATTATGGATGGACATTTAATTAACTAAACTTGAACCGAATTCACGATAGGTGGAGATATATTGCGAGAGCTGTTGTATGCAATTACTCTCTGTCACTATCATGGCATTTGACCCTCAAGTATGAGAGAAATATAGACTCTTTTATTAATTAATAATTACTTTGATTTGTTCGGCGGATACTTCGGGATCCAAAGACCAGCACTTTAGGTAGTTATGTAATTAATAGTTAGAAGGTTATATTCTCAATATTTGCATCAGTGCTACTTGTATTTATTTTGTATTGATTATGGTTGACTACAAATTAAATTTGAAGGCCTTCGTATATTTTAGACAAAATGTTTTCTATGTATTAATTTACTAAATTATTATTTTTGTCAAACAAATTTTTATTGTGATCAAGCTGAAAATAATTAAAAGTACCAAAACAAATATATTAATTACGTAGTCGGATTGATAGCTTAATAATCAGATAAATAATTATGTATAGAGGGGGTAAAAATGCAACATTGACTTAGAGGTTATATATTATTTAATTGGAGTTAAATTAATTTTTTTTAGTGGAGTAGAAATTAATTTATGAATTAATTGAATTAGGTCCATGGTTTAATGGACCAAGCCAATTATTACTTTATAGTAGCCAAGAAAAAAGTAAGCCCAGGGGATTCTCACCTATAGCCCAACTTGATATTGGAAGCTTATTAGATTTGAGATATCACGTGAATTTTAGAGATTAAAAAAAAAAAAAAAAAAAAAAAAAATTGTCTTTAATATTTATTTTTATTTTGCCTATATATACATGGGTCCATGTATATTTTAGGTTACGCCTTTGCAAGATTCTGCCTCTTTCTAGATTTTTAAGGTTAGCTTTCTCATCTAAAGAAGGCTATCACAAGCCTTAACTCCAAGGTCATTCATCAAGGTTTATTGGTGATTCCTAAAAGGAAGATTACTACCAAAAAGAAGGAGATCATAAAAGAAATGATCTTGCAAAGGGATCTACAATAAGTGAGAACATTCACTTTAGAGGAAAGATTTAAGGTTTAGTAAAACCTTTGATGTAAGCTTTCAATCTAATAATGAATACTTCATCATCTTATTTTTTTGCATAAAACTTGTTTCTATGTGATGAATCAAGATCCATGTATGAAAATTCCTTAAAAAGTTTTCAAACTTCAATTTTCCCAATAGTGGTATGAGAGCTTGGTTTGATTCATGACTAGAGATCATGTAATTTATGAAAATTATCATTCATGGATCTAATTTATATATACATATGTAGATATTAATGTATGTTGCTATATGGTATACTATGTTGATATATATTGATACATAATGATGTATGTATATTTGTGAATAGATGATGATGATGTATTTTTGGGCCATGGATGAAGCTTATAGGTAAATGTAATTTTATCTTTGGATGAATCTAATTAAGGATTTTATTTAGCCATTTGAAAGTTCAATGATGTAATTTATTTATTTTTCATTGTATTTCATATGTATAATTATTTTTTAAAGCCATGTAATCTTCATCACTGAGTAGTATGAAACTTCAAAAAGGTCCAAGAAAATTCAATAAGGTTCCTGGAATTTTTCCAGAACTTTTTTGGTTTTTTTTTTTTTTATTTATTTATTATTTTTTATTTTTCTGCAATTTTGGCCATTTTTCGGCAGCTGGAGGGAAGAAGAGGGATTTGGTGCGGCAAGGTACACCAATTTACCATGCACCCGAATCCAAGGCCACTGGATCTTGATCAGCGAAGGAAGTTATCTAATGTGGGCACGCCTAGAGCACACCCAATCATTTAGCGCGTGAGGACCACGTGCCAGCAAGGACTAGCACTATCAGGCGCGCGCTGCCACCTTGCACAGGCGCGCGCTGCCACCTTGCACAGGCGTGTGCACTCACGTGGTGAGCGCGTGAGGGCGCGTGGGTCCAGTATTGTTCTCTTGCATGCGCACAAATTCTTTTGGTGGACTTCTAGGCTTGCTTTTATGATTATTTTGTACTGTTTTCACTCATTAAAGAGTGAATTATTGCTCCAAAATAGATTTTAAAGTAATTCTCTTAAAGAGTGAATTATTACCCCAAAGTAGATTTTAAAGTAATTCTTCGCTACTTAAAGATAGTGGGAGTATATGTGGTGCAATAATTATAGCACTTAGTAATTATTTAGTTTTTAAATGTTAAAAGTTAAATCCATTGGCCATTTTATTTATTTGTTTTAGTCTGTCATTTATTTATTTATGTGATGTTTGAAATGCATGAAATATATAATTGCTAATTATTATTATTCATGCATTGGATCTATGATATTTATTTAAATGACTTGATTAATTAAATTATGAAAATTAAGTGGATTTAATTACTAATTAATGAGAGGGCAATTAATGGAAAATGGAAAATTATTTTTAAAAGTGTGCCTCAAATTAAATATTAGTAAATCATTTAAAAGTCCAAATATTTTTTAAAATTAATTGGATTAAAATCAAGGCGTTTTACATTCATTATATCATGTAAGTAAATGAATGGAAAACCCTAATTATAAATGATTGAAAATTGAGTGAGAGAGGAGATTTTTATTCATTACCTCATGGCCTTTGTTATTATAACCATTATAATTAGATCTTTAAAAATAAGGCTCTATGTTTAAAGA